AGACCTAGTGACCCAGGCTGCCTCCAGGCAAGCTTTCTATGGTTCTATCCTGCCTGATTTGCGTAAGCAGACTTCGGAAGGGTGTTTAAATGGCAGTGTTCTCCACTTCCAACTTTCTCAATTCCTCCATCTTTTCTTGATTCACAGAAGAACCATTGAAGAGGAAAAGTCAGTAAAGTAGCACAGGGTCACTGACTTCTCTGCATGAATCACAGAACCCGGCACTTTGTGATTCTTCTTCCTTCTTCCATTTGCTTTGCTGCATGGCTACAATGTCCTTCACACAAGGATTTTCCCCCTCACGCACACACCCGGGGGTGGGGGGAGAAGGGTCCTCTTTGCCTTTCTATGTGTTCCTCTAGGGTCACTTACACAACACCAGGTGGCGCTGCGCTACAGAGCAGAATAGTGAAAACGCACTAGGTTTCTGTAGTGAACTGTGACGCCTGCTTGGGCACAACGTGAGAAGGCAAGACTCGCTGGAGAAGGCAGCACTGCTAGTGAAAGCTGACAGCAGAAGAAGGGGAGGGCCAACTACGAGGTTGACTGGTTCGGTAGAGGAAGCCAGAGCCTTGAGTTTACATTTTGGGGGGCTTTATTCATAGGGCCACCCGAGACTTCACAGCATGCAATAACAAGAAAATACCAGTCTTCCCTTGCTCTAAAACAAAGTCAGAAAAAATGGCAGAAAAAATCAGCAGAGGCCCTCCCTGCAGGCTGATGACATGGGGAAAAGGCCCTGCAAGCCTTCATGAGCAAGGAATTGTGAGAACTCAATAAATGCCTCCAACTAGAAGCAGATGTAAACTAGAGTGGTTCGGGGGGGGGGGGCAAATAAAGCGTTGTTCACCATTTACTATCTGCAACTTATCCTTTCACAATAAAGTAGAAAACATTACATCCAGTTATCATTGTTCTTAATCCGCGCTTGTAAATATTTTGTACGTCTTGTTGATGGTTTAATCAGGTAAGATGTTTTCTCTTCCTCAAAGCAAGATCTTCTTACTTTAATGCAGAAGATGCACAGAAGATGGAGATTTATAGATACAAATGTAGATATATATTCATAGTTTGTCAACATATTTATTTATTTATTTATTTATTTATATTGTGATTTATATCCTGCCTTTTTCCTACAAAGGACTCAAGGCAACTTACATCATCTCTCCTCCTCCATCTTATCCCCACAACAACAACCCTGTGAGGCAGGTTGGGCTGAGAGTCTGTGACTGGCCCAAAGTCACCCAGTTGGCTCCATGGCTGAGCAGGGACTAGAACCCAGATCGTCTGAGTCCCAGTCCCACACTGTTAACCACTACACCAGTAAGTGGAGCCCCTTTAGCATGGTTCCTTCCTGAACCCAGCCCAGTGATTCTTTCCTGAAACTGCAAATTTCGTGCAAAGTTTATAGATCATGTACTCTCAAGAGGCCAGAGATTCATGAAAGACTGATACTTTTCCTCAGGCTGCTGTAACACAGCCTTCCCAACCTGATGTGTTGGACTGCAACTACTGTAATTGCACGCTGGCCGTGCTGGCAGACAATCATGGGAGTTATAGAGGCACATATGGGGGAACACCAGGTTAGGGAAGCCTTCTTTGGTGAACCTTGTGTATAGTTTTAAGGGTACGGAGAACAGTGATGGTCAGGTAGAAGGCGAATACCTTCAACTTCAAAATTAGTGTGGCCAAAGAGCTCATGCCCCAGAAGGCGGAAATTTGGAAATCTACCTTTTGAGATTTCGCTAACTAACTTCTAAGCCTCTGCTGCATTTTAATGTCTGTTTCAAGCAGGAAGTTCCTTTGCAGCCTACTGGGATCTTGAAATGAAAACCCAATTAATATGTACCCTGGAGAGAGAGTGAAAAAGGCCAACCTCTCCCTTGGGTCTTTGCACCATCTGTCTCCCTCATCAAATGCCAGGAAGGCAGTTGTGAAACATCCCCTTAAACGGTGCCAAACCCCCATCAGGAAAGAAGGAAAAGTAATGATAAATAAGTAATTGGAGTCCCCTGGGAGGCCGTGGCAGGCCACGAAGAGGTGGGCAAATACGGTTGCTGGGACAGTTACCCTGCTGCGCTGCTTGCCGACCCAGCGTCACTCCCTGAGGCCCTCCCTTGTAGAAGGAAGCAAACCATTTTTCCTGGCCTTCTTCTAAGAACCACCACCCAACAGCAAGAAGCTGCTTTTCCAGCATCTCTTATCCATCTCCAGTCTATTTTTTCCCTATATTTCTCTGTCTCTGTGTGTGTTTGCGTAGCCCTGTCTGCCTTATATTTTTCTGCCATGTCTGTCTCCCAGATCCCCAGCCGCCCCCCTGTCTGCCTGATTCTGCATCCCCCCTCCTCTCAGGATGTGTGTCCTCACTCTCTATCTCTGGGATCCCGTGGGTGTGTGTGTGGTTTTCTCCCCCCTGTCAATTGCTTCATCCTTCTTTTTCTCCCCCCTCCCTGCCTGCCCGCCTGCTCAGCTCAGTGGGGTCTGCAGCCAGCTCTCCTGTTGCTCAGAGATGAGGAGGCAGTTGCTAAGAGACGGTGAAACGTCAGTACCTGGCCCTCAAGGAAAAAAAAAAGACAGAGGGGAAGAAAGAGAAGGAGGGAAGGGGGGTAGACCCAGCCAAAATAAGACACAGAAAACACACGCACATACACAGCAGCTGCATCTCACCAAGAGGCTGTCATTCCCTCAGCATCTCTGTTGTCCAGAAGTGAAGGAAGGGTGCATGGAGGCAAGAGCACAGAGGAATGGGAAAAAATAGTAACTGTCATGAAGGGGAGGAATTCCTGATGGATGAAGGCAACACGAGTCGGCACCCAAGCAGAGCTCGGCTGCAGAAACATCCTCTGCTCAGAGTGAGTATCTCCTTTGAACAAAATAGGGACCATGAGGCTGGGAGAGGGAGGGAGAGGGACTCTGTGCTTCTTGCTGCATCTCCATATGGAAAGTAATGTTTGGGGTGTTCACTCTGTTGCGTGAGCAGGGTGTGTCTTTGTGGGTGAAGGTGGACGGGGTGCTGGAAGAATGGAGGAAATCGCCACAGGGTCAGGAGAGAATGCAGTGGGCGCGAGGTTGTGAAAAGCATGGGCTGGCAAGAGGGTGAGTCAAATGCAAGCTCTGCGGGGCATCTGGGCCAATGATTTGGCTTTTGGTTGCCAAGGGGAAGCAGGGCATGAAGGAGGATAGGGAAGGGGAGAGAAGAAGTTTGTGTAGGAGGAAGAAAGCAGTGGGAGGGGACAGAGACCTTGGAAGGACAAGGCTGGAGTGCAAGTTTGGGTCCGATCAGGATCGTGCATGTGTCAAACAGTGTACAGAGGGCTCAGGAATCATGGAGAGAGAGGTGGGAACACCGATGCACCGAGCTGGCTGCCCACAGGACGAGATGCAGGCAGAGGGAGGCCCAGCACTGCTCCAGAGTGAAAGGAGGAGTGAGGTGCATGAGCAAAGCTCTCTGGATGGGTGGTGCCCTTCAGCTGGGCCTAGAATCGTAGGAGCTGATGTAGGTCATTCGTACTGAGACACAGTGACAAGGCTGCGTGCAAGCCCAGAGCCTGGAAAATAAGGAGTTGGGTGTAGGACTGTTATCTACATCCAACTCTTTATTTGGATGCCTCCCCTGCATCTTAGCCCAAGCTGAGCCCAGCACTTACATCTCTTCCTTCAAGTCAGAGTCACCGCTTAGTGAAATGCACCGTGCGATGACTCCCTTCTTATTCTCCGTTCTCCTCAGTGCTCCTCTGCAAGGCAAAAATGTACAGAGAAAGCAGTGTGGAGTTCCCAGACAGAGGTCACAAGAATTCCAGATCACAAGCGAGGCATAGTTCACGTCGGATGCAGACTGAGCCTATATTGCAAAATAATCTAAAGAAGGAGGAGGTCTATAGAAATATGATGGACTGGAAGCACAAGAATGGCCAAATGGCTGTGGCTACAGTAGGGTCAGGAGAAAAGGATGAAAGCCTGTGACCTTTTTGCTGAATTGCTGATCCCTGTTCTGTTTCACTGGCAGGTTGCTCAGCAAGAGTCCTGTTTCTGACTTCTGGGAAGGAAGACCAGGCTTAAAAGACAGCCTTGCCCTTTGCGTCTCTTCATTTCCAGTGAAGACAGCATCATTCTCTCCCCTACATGGCTTCCAGGTCAGCATTTCCAGGGAGGGGACAGGATGGATCCTCACAGCCAGTTCTGTGGCTCTTCAGGAATTCCAACGCAAGGGATGTTTCCCTAAGCTGAACAATGACTGCCCACCTGCTTCCCCGACAAGAGAAATTTTGGACTCCTACACAGTTCATGTCCATTCAAAGGTCCTCCTGACCTTTCCAAGGGGGCCTCACCTACTCCAGTTTCATGGGAAATTGAGCACAGAGCCTTAAAAACTATACTTCTTTATAAATGCTCCTTTCTAATGACACTTGTAACTCCGGGGGAAGCTTCTTTCAGTTTCACAGAACTGCAGATGGATTTACTGGGACAGTAACATTTATTGACCTGATTATATTTTTTGTTGTGAGAAGAGCTTCTGTAAGAACCATCAGCAAGACACAACACATGATAAAGGGAAGAACTGATTTTCTCTTAATTCAAGCTCAAGGGTTTGAATGAGCAACAGATACTGAGTAAAAGTCTCCATTGTCATTTACGTGTATTTCTCTTGACTACATATTTTGAATATCTCCATCAACCAAGGCAAGTATGCAGAGAGATTTCTCTCTTCTACTTAACCATCTTGCAGCTAAACGTTAGGCAGCTACTCAGCAGCTAATCAGCTAAATAAACTACTGAAGACTGCCAGTTTCTGGCCCAATTAGAGCCCTTTTAGGGTACATCCTTCTCCTATAAGTGCCTCAAGAGCAGGACCAACTGGGGTTCAATGTCCTACTGTCCCCCTAGCCAGAATGCAGCAAGTTTTCCGTGTCACAGCTCCTATTTGCTGGGCTGTATCTCCACCCTCTGCCCTCTCTTGCCTATTGGCCTTTCCAATACCATGTAGCTTTTAGCTCGTCAAAATGAGTGCAGACTGTCTCCAGCTGGGAGGAGAGCAGTTTGCACCTCAGTGCTACTCAGCCATGATACTGAGCCCTCTCTTTGTAGCAGTGGTGGTGGTCTTCGCCAGTGCTGTCACTGGCTGCCCAGTCCTGTGCACATGCCGCAGCCAGGCCGTGGATTGCAGTGGGCTTCGGCTCTTTTCGGTGCCACCAGATCTTCCGCTGGACACCAGGAACCTAAGCCTGGCTCACAACCGCATCACTTCCATCCCTCCAGGATATCTTACCTGCTATTCGGAGCTGAGGGTGCTGGATTTGCGGAATAACTCCCTGGCTGAGTTGCCTGTTGGGCTCTTCCTGACATCCAAGCACCTGTCTCATTTGGACTTGAGCTACAACAACTTGACTCATGTGGTGGCTGACATGTTCCAGGAGGCCTACAATCTAGTGCACATCGACTTAAGCCACAACCCCTGGCTGAGGAAAGTGCACCCTCAAGCTTTCCGGGGCTTAGTTCAACTCCATGACCTTGACCTCAGCTACGGAGGCCTGTCCTTCCTCAGCCTTGAAGCCCTGGAGGGTCTCACAGGCCTGGTGACTCTTCAAATTGGAGGCAATCCCTGGGTGTGTGGTTGCACCATGGAGCCACTGCTGAAGTGGTTGAGGAACAGGATCCAGAGGTGCATGTCAGGTAGGTGGCATTAAATAGCAGTCTAGTTCATCACTTCACTCCCTCTTCTACCAGTTAACCCTCTGTGAACAAAGTGCTTATCCTCCCTTTCAACCTGAAGTTAGTCATTGTGCCTCAGTTTTCTGTGAGGCTTAAGAAAGCTGACAACTATTGTTGGATCACAGAATTTTGCATTAGCTCTTCCCCTCTGTGCCTGTTTTTTTCTATACCATTTATTAGGAATTATAAATCAGACAATATTATGTTCCATAGTTACAAAGATTTTATATATATATATATATATATAGAGAGAGAGAGAGAGAGAGAGAGAGAGAGCGAGCGAGCGAGAAGAAAAGTAATTAGATTTCAGTACTTTGTTCCATCCTTACTTATGATCAGTGAGGACTGCCAGGAATAGATTCACATTAAAAACAGAATGTGCAAAAATGGTTCTCCTTTTAATTAGTTTGCTTAAGTTGTTGGTCAGAACTGCTCTTGCAAAACTGCAAGAGGAGACAGGGAAAGGGTGATAGAATGAGATGGAATCCAGAATCATGGGGGACGCCCATGTGGCAAGCAGGACAGCAGAATGGGTATGGGAGGACAGAAAGAAAATTGCACCTGCAGGAAAGAGCTGGGCAAGGCTTTCTTTCTCGGAGTCTCAAAGGGCTGGATGGAGGAGGGTGGCGTTGTGCCTAACTTTGACCAAGGCAAGACGCCAGTATGTATATATGTGGATGCACACGAACCTTTCCAGCGCTGATTCCATAGTTGCTACCAGGCAACAGCTCAAGCAAGGGGACACAAGGCCAGCCTTCAGCTGAAGTAGTTCTGGAGTTGAGAAGGTTCAGAAGCCCAGACAGGACTGTGGGCTCAGCTTCAGGACCATGGAGAGCATTCCTGAAGCTCAGCCCTGGCTGAGAGCAGCTGATGGGTTTCACAGGTAGGGCAACAGAGTCCCGCTGAGACGTCTTCATCTGCTTTTTAAAGGCCCAGTGCCCTTTCCCACAGTGAGGGTCAGGGTAACGAGGAGCTGATTGGGATGATGCTCTTCAAGGCCCCTCTGAGGTCCTCTCTTCTGGAGCAGAGTGCGGTGGCATCTCCTAGGACTGAGTGGACAGTGACCAGGTTTCCTGTGTGAAGATCTGGAACTTTGCAGTGGCTGCTGCAAGCCTCCATCTTGGTGGGCTCTTAACCCTGGGCCACACGGTCAGGTTGTGCTGGCACACAAAGGGGCAGTGGGGCAGGTGCCCGGAAAAACTGTAGAAGTCACTGTCACCCTTTGCTGGCTTGCTTACGGCTCATATTGGCACCTGCCTACCTGCCCAGGTGAAAGCCTGTGTACGAGCTTTGGGACCAAGAAGGCATGTTTTGCCTGAGGGCCAAAGTGACTGAGGCCACTTCCTCACAAGCTGGCATCTTCTCGATGTGTACGACTAGAGGCCTGGATCACTTGCAACCCACGTGGCCACTGGTGGGAATGGAAGGCAAACTGGGAATGATATGTGAGCTGCACTCCAACACCTCTGGAGGGCACAACCTTGGGAAGGCTGCACGAGTTGGGAGCGGGGGCGCAGCCACTCTGTGCTGGTCCTTGGAGGAGGGTTTGCAATGAGAGGTGTCAACCATTAGACAGGCCAGTCAAAACAGCAAGGCAGTGGGAGAAAAGGAGATTACAGGCCGTCAGTGCCGTGTGCCGCAAGGCACCATTAAGATGAGACTTGCACTTGGCTTGGCATTCAGAAACTGGGTACAGAAGGGTAGAAGCAATGAAGACCAAACAGATGCCCAAACAGATATTCAAGGACTGCAGCTCCCATCATCCCTAGACAGCACAGTTGATGGTGATGGTGGATGGGATCTGAAGTCCAATGACATTTGGTGGCCACACGCTTGCTTCCTAAATTACTAGCACGGATGACTCCCCTGCTCCTCCACTGAGTCCAGGGCCTTGGGATAAGTGATTCACCACAACAGGTGCAGCCAGATGGGCAAAAGCAAGCAATGCCCTGCTTCCGGCTTCGGGCAGGGCCAGAGTGGCTTAGCCAGGACTCCTGGCGGGACTGGCAAGGTGACTCCTGCCTCAGTCACTCTCCACAGCTGATAAGTTGCGTTGCACATCTCCTTTAGCTAAAGCAAATAAAGCTTCTGCAGCCCTGGCTTGCCCAAGCATGTGCTCCTTGTCTCTACTCCGGAGCAGGTACAGTAAAACAAATGGTGATTTCAAAGAGGCAGAAGGGGTGCAGGGGCTGCTGAAAACCCCAGTGGCATCTTTAGCCACATGGAGAGCTCCAGGCACACACTGAACTGAGAGTCATCCTGAGCAGACCTTTCACTTCCAAGACCTCCAAGAGCAGACAGGGAGGTGCTCACCTTACCTCGTGGCTGAAGGCTGCGGATGATGGGCACTGCATGCAGCTGCAGCCACCACTGGGAGAGTTTTCAAGAGACAACAAACTTCAAAACAAACTTCTGGGGAGTGGGGGAGGCAGTGCTTTCCTCATCACATTGAGAGGACCGGCTCCCCCTAGTCTTAGCTGGCACCCCTGCCGTGCTGCAACGGCCCTTGGAAACCAGTCAGAGCCTTTCCGTCCAGCAAAACTGAGAAGCTGGCTGAAATCAGGGGTACCACACAAGCTGCCCTTGTGAGATGGTGTCGTGCTGGTCTGCCCTGTAGCAACAGATCCACAGATTGCACAGGGAATCATAAATCGGCATCCTGTCCTACTCTGTACTGCTTTCTCTACAGTAGTCCTTTCCTAACCTTCCTGCTTATCTCACAAGCTGCAAACTTCAGAGCCCGGGGACAGGAAATCCTGCTCATGCAAAGCCAGCAGAAGGCAGCCCTGCTTCCACAATCACCCACCTCTCCTTGGAGCATCCTTACTTAGAATACTGATTCTGTGTTCATTCACTAAACGTCCCTTTGATTGATACACAGCAGACAAGGAAGGGGAAGGTTGCCATCCGTCTCCAGTTTTGGCAGCATTTGCTCACTTGGGGCATGCTATGACTGTCAGATGGAATTCGGGACACTTTCCCAGTCACTTGCACCATGGAGTGGTTTCTGATGATGGCTTTTTGTGCAGATGGCCCTTGCCTGCTCTCTTTTGCACCTACATCTACACTGTTGGGCTTCAGAGGTCAATTGTTAAAGAGTTTTTTCATTCATAGAGCTGCCTATTTAACATTGTTCTTTATTTATTTATACGTGAGACAGAATCCAGTCTTCTCAAAACCGATTTACAGTATATATGACAGCAAAGCCACATAACATCTAGCTTTATAAGTCTGTATCCTTTTCAGTCTGCAGGTAGCAGTTCTCACTTTTGAGTGCTCCCTGGCACAATGACCCTGCACAATGACCCTGATTCAGGGTTTCGGTATATGTCAAGTGTGAGTTGCTACTGAACTATGGGTTGTTGCTGAAATGTGGGTTATTGTGTCGCTTGAGCCCTACCAAGATAATAAACCATGATGAACAACCCACAGTTCGTGACTCAACAACAAAACATGTGTTCTCTTTAAGGGTTATTAGCAGTGTATAAGCAATGGCTTGTCAGTACAGTTCAGTTCAGTGCAGAGAGAGCAATAACCACATCTCAGCAGCCACTCAAGCTCAGCTCAGCTCTTGAGTATGGGTATTATGTAGTCCGAAATCAATCACATCCTCTCTGAACACAGACACCTAGTATATCATGCTGTAAGGTCAACTTAAGTTCTGACCAGTTCTGGACAATCACTGGAGGGGGAGGGCACGGTGGCATCTTTCCCCCTCTTCACCCCTGCACCTAAGCTGAGGAGCCCATGCTCTCCCTAATTACCCTTGTGGCACACAGGAGGGGTGCTTTCAGAGGCTGCAACTCGCCATGGGTTCTGGGGTGGTTTGAAAGTCACCCCACACCCTACACCTCTCCAGGTTTGGGTGACACAAGAAACCACATGCCAAGAGGGTACTTAGAGATATTGCATATTTTGTTTGTTTGTTTAAAACTTCTATATACCACCCCATCACTGATGTCTCGGGACGGTTTACAAGAACACCAATAAAATAGGATAAAGAGATAAAAGTAGCACAGCGTTCAATAATAAATATAAAACCACAAATTAAGACAATTAACAATTAAAATAGTGGGAAAATGAAAACACTGGGGGGTGAGGAAGGAGCCGCCATGGTTTCTTTTCCCAGTCTGGCCCAGCCTCTGCCTCCCTGGCAAGCTAGAAGTGAGTGAGTACAGAGCGGGGAAAGCTCTTTTGCGTGGTGTCTGGGAGTAGAATAGCACAGGGTACAAAAGTGGCCATTTGCACATATGAAACACCTTGCCTTCTAAGAGTTCAAATGGGATGCCATGGACTTCAGCTGAGAGTCTAGCTTTCTAGTGAACTAGCTTGCCGTGACAATGTTCAAAGAGATATTCCCACCACCGCAATTCCCCCAGCGCCGTACCTCACGTACAGGTATACAGCTTCCTCCAGAACTTCTGATCAGGTCTGAAAGAAATGGGACTGGGAAGGGCAGAGGAGCAACCTTTCTTTTCAAGGTGTGCTGTGCGTTGTCGTGCATTACCCTTCTTGGCCCTTGTTTCAGATACTCAACTGGCAGAGTGCCGCGAGCCACCTGAGGTGGAAGGAGCCCCTTTGTTTTCACTGACTGAGGAGAGCTTCAAGGCGTGCCACTTGACCTTGACCCTGGATGACTATCTCTTCATTGCCTTTGTGGGCTTCGTGGTCTCCATTGCTTCAGTGGCCACCAACTTCCTGCTGGGCATCACAGCCAACTGCTGCCACCGCTGGAGCAAGGCGAGTGAGGAGGAGGAGATTTAGCCCCATGGCCTGAGCCTTCCTGCTTCTCTGGGAAGGAGCCAAGGGCTATCATGTTCAGGGAATGTGAAGAGACCCACCACCTCCCTGCTCAGCCCCCTCTGTGAGCCTTCCCCCCAGCTTGCCACACCCACCAACCTGTCCACAGCAGCATCAGACTGCCACGCACCCGCTTTTCTTGCTGGGGAGGGGGCAGAGAGGCAGCAGGGGCAGGGAGACAGAAGTGTGCCTTGTACAACACTCTTCATGCCAGAAAGAGCCAGCGAACCATGTCCTGAGCGATGGCAGAAACACATCGACAGACACGCAACCCATGCCGCATTCTTCGCTTTCCTCTTTGCTCCTGTACACACGCGCACTCATGCACATCCTTCCCACACCCTTCTCGGCCACGGCCTTGAACTTGTGGCTGTAGCGCCGCCGAGCCACTCAATCAACTCTTGCACATGTGCATCACGTCTGACCACCACCTGACATGGAGAAAGCAAAGCTTGTCCGTTAGGACGTCTGAGGTTCTCTGTTTTAGCCCTCCCAACCCATCATCATGTCATTGGAGGTGATCACGAGTATTGTCCTTCCTGAAGCAGAGGAACTGCATTTTGAATCCTCGAACATGTCCAGTGGTCCATTCTTTCAGTTCATGTATACATGCAATGCTTGCAGTTCCATCAGGACCCCCGAGACTTTGGAGACTAAATCAAGGGCCAGATAAACCCCAAGCTGTAACTGTTTTCCATTCCAGTTGCTAAGCATTTAGCGTAGATGGTGCTACAAATTAGACACGCGTCTGCTGATTTCACAACTGGCCCCTTGCTAACCTTGCTATGGATTTAGTTTGGGTGGCTTGTGAAAGGGTGCCTGGCCTGAGAAGGTCATATAACGCAGCACCCAGAGAATCACTGTGTCACAGGAGGGGAAACCTTCAAGTAAGTCCAACTGTAGGATATTCCATTGTTTCATCATTCAGAATGGAGGAGACCCTGAATGATCTAACAAAGTTGGGTTGGAGAGGATAATGCTGTGGCTTGACTGAGGCTGTAGACCAGGGCTGGTTGCTATTCATAGAATTGCATTAGATGAATGCATCTGAGGCTAGATTAGCCATGGCAGTAATGCATGGAAGCTATGGAGAGGCAGATTTTTAATGAGGAAACAGTTAGACATTTCCCTCATTGCCCTGGATAGTAAATTCTCCATAGTATCTGCAGCCTCTTCAATGCTTTTTGGGCTCATTTACATTATGAAAATATCAGGGATATTCCCATCTAACTGCCATTGCTTTTTCTGAGGAATACCAAGAATTATAGTTTTGCAAGAGTGCTGGACATTCCCATGAAGAGGTCCTCAGGCACAGATGGAATGAGTTTTCAGCTGATTAATTCTGTAGTGTAGCAGTTATGTCCTTTGTGCACTGCTGTGACTTGGCCTTGATTTCAATTTACTTATTATTTTTTGTTTTACTCAATGCTTTTGTAGCAGATGATGCTGCAAATTAAGACTGAAAGCACTAAGGTAAGAGTGACAAGTTGGAAGGAAACATGTTTCTTAATTCTTGTAGAGACATTTGGTTCCCCTTGATCACATACAACTTGAGTGAAAAAAGATTGCCTTGAAAGGAAGAGTGAGCGGCAATTCCATTTAATTCTGCTCACTTGCTATCCCACTACACTTAGCATTCCTCAGATCCCACCATAAGAACATTTCATTTACCTTGATTCTCTCAAAAACCTTAAGCCATGAGCAGAGGAACTAATTCTTATGGGAGAAGGAGATGGAGACAAAGATGCAGAAGAAGACAAAGAGGAAGAGGCACTGCATTGTCCTAGACCACACAAGAGGCCAAACTCAAGGGTAAAAAGAGAATCTAAGGTGTATCTATTTCAATCTACAGATCTTGCTCCTAAACAGGGTCAAAAACCAGGTGGGCACAACCAAGAACATTCATGGATGACACTTCATCACTGTACCCAGACCCACAATGCTGAGGACATAGCCAATGTTGGACATGAGGACTCCAATGCCTAGCCGGCATGTTCAGTGAGAAGACATAGCCAATGTACCAAGCAGGGGAGTCACCTTACAAAGCCTATAATGAGCTCCTAGAGATTTCTGTGTGCACAACTATAGTTAACACACTTCGAAACATGTATTTTTTTTAATTGCATAGACTTGGACCACACAAGATACTGAGAGCTGCTAATGATGGGGTGCAGCAGGGTGAGATGGGGGACTGAGGAGAACAAGAGAACAGAGAACCTCCATTATTTTCACTCCATCTCACCAACATCAGGAAGACAGCAAGTCAACCTGTCCTTTGTGCAGGGTATCCTTTCAGAATGCGCTCTCATAACCACTCTTTCTTTTGTTGAATCCCCCTGGGATTTCCCTCCATAAACCACTTCATGGTGAGATCTATCTGGGACTTCTTGTGCCATCCTGAGCCAGGAGTAAGGGAGCCTGCCTCAGGAAGACAGAATCTGGGTTTCCAAAGGGCAGCACCCCAAATTATTATTTCCCCACGGGGGACTAAATCTGTTTTCAGCTTCAGACATCAACATGTCTTAGGCCTTCCCTATCGTTCCAAAAGTCTAAACATTGTCATGTATTATGCACTTCACCAAATCACATGTTGTCACTGATCTCACCACAGGGTGACTGGAGGTGGGGGACAACAACACTGTGCTGGTGGGAGGGAAGACAGTGTGAAGCAACCTTGCATGTGTTTGTGCAGCCTGCAGAAGCTTCAGGGAAGCCTAAAGCACAGGGCTGATGTCATAATGGCCTTTGTTTGCATATCAGCGTCCCCATGTTCTGTGTGAACTGCCTGTCTGTAGCCACCATGAACTACAGGGGAGTGCAGATCTCAGTCCCAGTGTGGTCTTTCTTGAGATGGATAATTGCTAAGCTCAACCAACTGGACTTTCAGTATGAATGTGTGGAGACAGGAGCAACATCCTGATCTATGTACACGGCTAGCCCAGGTGGTTCTCCATTTCAGTCCCGGGAGTTCTAGTTCTGTGTCTCTGTCTCTCTGGATATAATGAGAGCAGATCCCATGTCACTGCAAGGGAGGAATTCTGGGGAGATCTTTCTAACAATCAGAAAAGCATAGGCCTGTTCCAGACAGTAACTGCATATAGCAATGGCTTCTAGTGCATCTCCGTTTCTCTTACGTATATAGAACATAACACCTGTTGGCCAGTGACGAGTAGGTTGCTCTGTTTCTTGTAGTTTTGCACAGCTGTGGACAAAAAGTAGGTCATTCTAGGCAATACTAGGCAATACTTGCTTGATTTCTGTCCTATCTATTCAAAAGTCATCCAGATAACAAGGATCAGGATACCATCATATGCCTTTCAAGCTGTGTTGTCATCTTCCATTGTTTCCAATGTTGGTCTCTCATTCATTTCATTGGGTCTACTATAAGTAGGACTACCATTGGCTACAATCCATTGTTGGTTCCTGCTTAAACAGAAGCAATGCGGTATACAAAAGTACATATGTAACCGATGCTCGTTTGTTCTGTGGGCCAATGATCAAAAGCACCTTCCCTGAGAACCAGTGGATGTTCCACATTCAGTGAGACAGTGATGTCATTATTCCTGTCATGCCCAACTCGCACCTCAGCCTACATTTACAGCTGCATTTGATAGCTGCCCAGAGAGGGTTCCCACGGTGCAATAAACATTGGCTGAGTTCTGAGCTCGGGCAGGAGCTGAATGAGAAGCACAGCCATCTAAGGATGTGCCAAACCCCACGCAGATCCTCCAGTGGCATGAAGCGAATTGTTCCAGATACAGCATGGGAAGAACCAACCCTCTGCAGTTCAGCTCACATGGGGCAATTGTATGGTCAATGCCCAGCTGACCTGCAGCTTTCTGCTGGTGTAGACCCAGCTAGAGAAGACAAAATTGGCAAAAAACTTGATTTGATACCCTAATCTCAGAGCCTGGGGGATCTACGTCTCACAATTGGACTTTTTCATGAAGCATATGAAGCACTCAGATGCCAAATCTGGGCCTGAGAAGATCCAGAAATGCACCAAGAAAATAAGCTTTTACTTTCCTTTTGCACTAGTTTCATGTATTGTCTTTCTTCCTTTACATTGTAGATGCCTTCACAGACATAATATGATCAGGAAAAGAACATTTGTGTCTTTAAATATCTGGTGGGCAGCAACTGAACAGAAAATAAAACCTTTCATTTACAAGTGGAGCACATTTCCTAGGCGATGCCCCTAAGGTGTGGGTGGGAACTTGTATCCCTCCAGATGTAATGGCCACAAAGCAGTATTAAAGGCTCATGAAAGTGATCGGCCAACATCTGGAGGGAGACTAGTTGTCGACCCTTGGACTATGATGTAAATGGTTTTTCTCAAGTATGCTCATGTTACGAGTGAAATCATTGCTCTTATATTCAATGCATGTGTGTATAGTGTGTGTGTGTGTTGCTGAATATGTGCCACAGGCTGGGCACCAACTACTGTGAGCATTCACAATGAGTTGTCATGTGGTATGAGAAAACATGTTGTGCTGTGCTTCTCAGCTTTGGAGAGGGTGGGGGGCCCATGGTAGCTTTCCACACGCGGGAAGCATTTATGATTTCACCCTACCTATGGCAGCCCTTCACATCAAATCCTACAATGTTCCAGTAGTTCCCTCAACCTTCCAGAAAGTTTTTTCAGCAGGCAAGGGGGGCTGCAGAGTGTTGGGGGGTCAGCAAAAATCAGTCCCACCCGCCCCACCCTCTGTGCAAGCAGCCCTGTGTTCTGCTAGTTCCAAGCCACCAAAACAACCCGCAGGACTCTTTAATGTCTGCTGATTGTCACTTGATATGAGTCACCAAATGGAGAAAGCACATGTGTGAATAAGCCCTTAAGGAGAAAGCTTTTCTCTGGTTCCACTTCTCTAGTTGCCATGATTATGGAAGTTTTGGGGCTGGTCTTCATATTATTCGCTTTGCATTTTTCAACCAAGCATGTTTGTGTCTCATTAACACATGTT